TTATATATGAATGTTTCTTTACTTAATCAGTTGTGTATGAGGTTTTCACTTATCAACAATGCTATAGGAACATCCCTTTTTTAGGATAAATTCCTAGAAATGGATTATGATGCTTGTGTTACTTTTCTCATTGCAGAGATAAAATACTCAACACCCAAAGCTAAAGGAGGAAAGGTTTACTTAGCTCTCAGTTTGTAGAGGTTTCAGTCATCAGTTAGCTGGCTCCAAGGCAGGGTGGTGTGGCAGACAGGCGTCACGGAGGACAAACAGTTTATGGTGGGCAGAAGGTAGCAAAACAAGCAAGGGACAACCACAGGTCTTTCTGTTTATATTTTTCCCAGGCTACTTACGACGGCTAGCACTCACACCCTTAATGCTAGTGCCCTCAATCCTAGCATTGCACCATGAATCCACCCCAGTGTCACACACTCTAGACCCAGCCACCTCTGAAAAAGCCCCATCTGTGACTGCGTGAGGCTTGGTGGTACATCTAGATATGAGCCATAACCATGTATATGAATGTTACTTTATTTAATCAGTTGAATATTGAGGTGGTTTTCACTGTTACCAGCAATGCTGCATGAACATCCCTTTAGTTAAGTTTGCATACATTTATTTATTAATTTTTAGGGTAAACTCCTAGACATGGGAGTACGGTGCTTGTGGTGTGACATGAAACTGTCCTCCGGAGATGTAGCCCTGAACACTGCCCCTTGTACAGAGCACCCTTTTTGCTCATTCAGTCCTCCTGGCTCTTCCGTGGATCCTCTCAACATGTTTGCCCAGCTTCAGTCTTTCTCCTTCTGGTTTGTCTTAGCGCTTCTCTGCCTGATTAATGGTTCTGAAGCATGCATTGATCGTGTCATTGAAACTTTGAGATCTTAGCCTGACCCGTGTGGGCCCTCTCGCTCAGTCCACGGCACTGTATTTCTCATTGCCCTTTGCCCCTAGTAAGTCTGCCCTGCGTGTCGCTTTTCGTCTCTTTCTTTCTGGTTCCTCGTTTACCTTCTGCCCCTCTGTCCCACCAGCTCTAAGAGCAGAGCTTGCACATTTTGCCGAGTACTCCTCACCCTGGTCTCTGCCCAGTGCACAGAGAAGGCTCTCAAGCTCAGCTCCAGTCCTTCTGCTGCCTCCCACTTCTCCTCAATCGAATCTTCGCCTTCCTTGCTGCGGGATTGACGCGTCATCACTGCATTGTCGCATCTTTCCTCGGGTGTTGTATGTTCCTGATTTCAGTAGGACTCTCCCTATCTCTATTCTTTCAGTATCACAGTAATCTTTCTCTCCAAGTTCTTCAGTTACCTTTAGTTAACTGTCTTTTCCAAGTAGCATAGTTCTCAGTCTACGCTCTGCCATATATTTTAAGTATTTCCGGGCTAGGACTCTCCCTTGGCAAATCAAAATGCGATAGAGGGACCTAAAGTTATGTCATGATTAAAACAACAACAGTAAAAAACAGCATCCTCATTTTGGTGTATATCCTTTTAATACCTCTGTACATATATGATAGATAAGTAACACTTACATTGTCGTAAACATAGCGTACACATACAGCTCACATTTAATCCCTGTTCTCTTGGCTCAGTATTTTATAGTAGTATGCAGCATATGGGCTGTTTTACTTGTCCTTTAAAGGAGCTATGAAGTTGCTGCTTTTATAAAGGAAGGTTATAAAGGAGAGTTATCCTTTTGTAAAGGACGTGTGCACTCCAGAGTGTTAGCAGTGAATCTCTTATAGTTTCATTATTAGGAATTTTATGTTTTTCTTTTTTCTTGTTCATTAGGGTCCCTGCACTGAGCTACAACCTCCACCCTCTTTTCTAGGAGAGGAGTAGCTCTAATACTTTGGAACACAAAAGTAACTTGCTTGAAGACAGTTTCTGTGAGGATCAGAATTGTGAATTAGAGTAGTTAGAAACCTGCTCTCCACTAAGCTTTAAACAGTGTAGACCCATGAATGTGACTTATATACTTGCTTTGCTGACCCATTTCTTACTGCTGGTTTCTGCCAGTGAGTGTTGGTGTCAGATACTCCTCTTTATATAATGTTTATGAACTGAATCAGAGTTGTGTGATTAGTTTAAAAGGGCACCTAACGTTGTCAAAGAAATCTTGGGAGCTGGGGTAGAAAAGGAACTAAGTGAGCTCACCGCCAGGTCTGAACTTGATTAAGCTTGTATTCTGTGTTGTAACTGATGCTAATACCTGTTAAATCTGTAAAGCAAGACTGAAGTACTGTTTATATGAAAATATAGGTGTTTTTAGATATGCTGTAAATGAATATAGTACTATATAATTATTCGCATAGACTTTTAGTCAGATTACCTTGAAAATCCAAAATGATCTTGATGAACAGTGATACACTGTGATTTCATCGTTCATCTCTATACCTCCTACGTAGATTTTTTTTTGAATATTTGTATCTATCGGGATTACCAAATTGCATACTTTTTTGGTATGAGTAACATGCCTAAAATACCAGAGTGTTCATCTGCCAGTTATGGTAGTGAAACCCTATTAAAATTGTGAGAGGAAGATTTAGCCACATACATGCACACCATTTAAAGGGAGGTACGATGTTCTTTTTTATTGTTTGAGGCAAGAAATGTTTATTAAGAGCATGAAATGTCTAAAAAGCCTGTTCTAGATTGTGCATAGCATGGTTTTCTTTTAACTAACCTGATTCCTGTGCCCGGGTGATTTGGCAGACACGATAGTGACTGCCGCAGCTCCCAGCCTGGCGTTACCGGCGTGAGCAGCCCAGGCTGCCTGTGTGTTTGTGGTGTCTGCTCAGGCTGACCAGTGAGGACTAGTGAGGACAGGAGACAGTGAGGTCCCGTCAGCCTGGGTACCCTTCAGTCATGGCGGTGGGCCTGCTGGGGCGCCTCAGGGCTGTCCCTTCTTTCTCAGCTTTTAGCACCCATTCTCATAGCTCTATTTCTGAGCTTAGCCTCTCTGTTTGTTTCTTCTAGTGCTGTGTAGCAAAGTCCCTAAACTGGTACCTTAAAACCAGAAATTTATGCTCTTGAGTTCTGAAGGTTTGAAGTCCACTGTGAAGGTAGCAAGAGGGTAGTGTTTTCCTGAAGGCCTTGCGGAGGTCGCTCCCATGCCTCTCGCTGGTGTTGCTTGGCTTGGAGAAGCCTCACCCAGCCCTGCCTCCATCCTCACATCGTGTCTCCTCCACGTCTGTCTGTGTCCAAGGCCCCCTCCCCGCTTCTGGAAGGACTCTACGACATTATATGGTATGGGAATGCGCCCTACTCAGTAGGTGCTCGCCTTGACTGATTGCATTTGTGAAACCTTGTTTCCAGGTAACACCATGTTCTGCAGGACTGGGGCTTGGGGACGTGGGGAGACGCAGCTTAGCCCACGTCGGAATCTGCTCAGTTACACGTAGGGACCATGGTACTTTGGTGACCCACTTGGTACTTCCTGCTTAACGTGGGCAGAGCTGGTCATGTTTTTCCCCAGGTCCCTGCTTTTTTTTTCTTATTTTCTTTTAATTTGCTTTCTCTGTAGTGGGAGCATCCTGTGTCTGTCTCGTCCTCAATCTCACCCCTTCCCCGTGCTGTCATTTCAGCTTCACCTGTGTTTCTCTGGCCCTCCCTGCCTTTCCTTTGAGATCTCCCACCGTACCCTTCTACCCTAGCTACGACCGATCCTCTTGCCTTTTAAACTGTGTCTTCTAAACCAGTTTCTCTTCCAGAGCAAAGATTTGGCTCTGATACCTGTTAATCTAAAAGCCTCGAGTGATTTATCCCTGCCTGTGAAAGCAGCAGGGTTCTGCAGCCTGGCTGTGGAGGTTCTCCGCAGGGGCCACTGTTCCCGCTGCAGCCGATCTGTTGCTCTCCAAGCCGTCTAGATTCAGGCTCCGGAGCTCTGTGGTCCTCCTCTGAAGGCAGCACATCCCCTGTTTTCTCCTCTGTTCCGTGCTCTGGGAGACAGTTCTCTCCAGCCTTCTTCCTTTTCCTCTCTCCTTCCTCCACCAGCGGGGATTCTCCCCAGGTCCCGTGGAAACCAGGAGACCCCATTGGTAGGCCCCGAGTGCCAGAAGCCACCGGTATTTTGCCTAATGCAAGTCGTTTTCCTTCCGCTTCAGTTTCATCTCAAAAGTCAGGTGAGGAACTTGGAGTAGGTGATCTCCCAGCTCGATTCATCTTTAACATCCTCCTTCAAAGGCCACGTCTCCATGAAGGGTTCCCGGCTTTTCCAGGCGAGATAAATACTCCTTCCTTTGTGTCCTTAGGGCTTTACTTCTCTTAGCTTTGAGTCAGGTCCTGCACTGCCGCAGTCATGTGTGCACCCCCTCAGGCTTTGCACTGAATACGCCATGGGTTTTCCCTCTTTGTGGCACGGTAGTCAGGTGACATTCAGGGAAACAGCTAAGTTGACTTTGGAACGATGTATAAAAATGTGTTCTCTATAAGATGTTTATAATTGACTGTTCGATAAAACATGAATATGTTCCTGTTTTCTTCTTCTCTGTATTTTAACCTTTGAAATACATTACAGTGGTAGGAAATGCTCCTAGGAACTCCTTTCATGACTCTGCAAGTCAAAACCTCTGTAGCCGGACATGCTGTCCTAAGGCATAGATTTGATCATGCAGAGACCTTCTTTAGAAATTTTTGATAACTCTTCCCTAGAGAAGAACGAGCAGGTTCTTTTCTTGCCTTCAAAATCCTCTCGTCCTCTATTGGTCCTCGTTTTCCATTTTGTCTGTGCTGTATGCTGCTCTTTCTAGACCACTGCTCTCTGCCTTACCTGCCTAGAATTTCTCTGGGGTCACGTTTCATATCTGATTTGTCTGTATTGTCCCCTGTAATATTCCTTGTTCAGTTCACATGTGGTTAGTAGGTATTGGTAATGAATGAATATCTGTGAGTCATTTTTGCATGGTATCTAAGGGTATTACTAAATAACAAAGCAGTACTCTCTTGTTGTTATGCAGTTACCGCTCAGGCCAAAGAATCTAGGCTTTAACTGTAGAATCTAACACCATGCCTGAGGGAAGATTGAGGTTTGAAACCTCAATGACGTTGGATAAAACAATTGCATTTGACATTATAATGCATTTAGTGTTTCACCCTGTGCTTGGCCCTGTCTCGTCTCTTAGCTGCTGTACATTGTTTCATCCATCCGTCCACTCTGTGTAAGAAGAAATGCTGTGTTGAGAAATGTGTTTAGTTATGAATTTTACTTTTGTGACGACAACACTTATTTTTTGCCTCTGAGTGTATTTTATATGTGCTTTTATTTTCTGCAAGCTACTGACTTTGTGCTTTGTGTTTGTTTGATGTTACAGATTAATATCCTTTCAAGAATTTGTCGCCTTTGAGTCTGTCCTGTGTGCTCCCGATGCGTTGTTTATGGTGGCCTTTCAGCTGTTTGATAAAGCCGGCAAAGGAGAAGTTACCTTCGGTAAGGAGTGAGCGTGTGTGCTCCTGTATACGGGGGGACTGGGGAAGCATTTTTTTTTTGCTCAAGAATGAAGTAAAGTGCCTGGACATTCTCTTAAGGAGTTAGTATATTCATTTTAACAAAGATACCAGCGTTTGGGGCTACTAAGTATCTGGCTTGATAGTTTTGATACTCTGGTTTAATTCCAAAGAGGGTAACCGTGTGGCATCACTTTTCTTAGAGTCGTGGGATGTGCAAGTCAATAAGACTGCTGTTCCTTCCCTTCCCCAACAGGTAATAAATTGCTATGACCCAGGCGCCCAGCACTGCCGTCTTTACCTTGCCCTCGTAGACAGAGTTACTCCTAGGGACACTGCCTGTGCTCCTGGATCCTAACGGTACAGGAAAGACCTTGGGAAGAAAGGGAAGACCGGAAAGTAGTGGGTCAGTAGTAAGTTCTTTGAAGAGGCTGGTTAGTGGAGGTAGAGGTGACAGAAAGCACGTTTCTTTTGGACTCTGTGGTACCCGATGTGCATCACCCGTGATACTGTCACCCGCTGCGCATTCTCATAGTCACTTTCTCTTTGCTGGGTTCTGATACCTGATACCTGAAACGCAAAGGAGAACAGGTTTGTTTCGGCTCGAAGTTTATAGACATTTCAGTCCATAGTTGGCTGGCTCCAGGGCAGGGCAGCGTGGCAGAGGGGAGTCACATGGCGTTCAAGAAGCAGAGAGTACGAGTGGAGGGACAGGGAAGGAGGTAGACCCTTCCAGGCCACGCTCACAGTGACCCACCTCTTTCAGCTATGCTCCCTCGCACATCACAGTTAGCTCTCCACTCACCGGGGGGCTGATTCACTGATGAGTGTCATGCACCCCTATGATGCAGGCGCCTCCCAACAGCCCCACTTCCGAGCATATGAAACTTTGAAGAGAGCTTGAGATATAAACCGTAACATCGTGAAGCACGGTGGAGCCCTGTGGGTGTGTAGATTATGCTTTGAGGGGCAATGGCTCAGGTGCTCACTTTAAATGTCTTTATTAGCTTCCACTTGGGTCAGATCTCTTGGACTCGTCTTATTTGGTATATTATGGGAAATATATGGCTGTGGGGCAGTTACAGATGGTATAACAGCGTTGGCTCTGAAGGCAGAGACTTAGCCGCTTTCAGCTTGGCCACTTTTGTCTCTGAGCCAAGTTCATTGTCCTCCCAAGTCCTCCTTTCCTTGTAAGAAGCGAGGATAGTAGTGACACACGGCAGAGATAAGGTAGCGGAGTGGGTTCACTCTCCCCCTGCCCCCACTCTTCTCATGCTCATTTGAGTGACAGAGTTACTCAGCGTGAGAGCAGCCAGAGCAAAGGAAAAGAATTACATGCGTGCTTCTGAATCATAGATGTTTCCATGAACACTTCATGAGAATTATTTAATATTTGAAGATCCTTACATTTAGTTTTTCCTTTTCCGTCACCAGATTCCTCTCAGCACCACTGAAATCACAACTTCTCAGGGGAATACCAGGGTAAAAAGTCTCACTACAATCTGCAGCTAGTCAGTGAGCAGCTCTCTTGTGTAGTGTGGGTGCCAGTTTGATGATGAAAATGATAGGACGGCATGACCTGGGGGTGCACAAAGAAGCCTGCGAGTTTGGATGAATTTAGCGTTGGTGTGTTGTCTCCCTTGTCTTCCTGCTTCCCCTGAAGTCTGGATGGAAGAACCGGGGAAGCAGGAGAGAAACAGACCTTTCTAAGTATCGGTGTGATTAAAAGAGATGGACAGGTGGAAAAGTGGGATGTAGGTGACAAGAGTCTTCTGTGAACTCAACGCAGACATGAGAATTCCCTTTCAGTTCCTTGCTAGCTGTTGATGGGCAAATCATTTCAACTTTCTGAGCTTTATTTTCTCCATCTGTAAAGATAGGGTAATTGGGGCTGGGGATTTAGCTCAGTGGCAAAAGCGCCTGCCTGGCAAGCGCAAGGTCGTGAGTTCGGTTCCCGGTACCGGAGAAAAACCAAAAAAAAAAAAAAAAAAAGATAGGGTAATAATTGTCTTTAAAGGACTGTGTTAAAAGAGCCACCAAATATAAAGGTACTATCTGTAAAACAAAAGCCTTTACAAAAATAATAACTCTAAAAGAAATTGCTTGAGAAGAAGAGGATTTCCTTTTTCCCTTGCCGTTTGGAAATCCCTTTCACAAAATCTCCCACAGCCAGAGCCCTAGCTATAGCCATTGGAAATGCCTTTCAACTTGCATTTACACATCTGGACTTTTAGTGAGTTGTTTGCTCACCATCTGTTGCTTGTCAAACACTGTCCATCTCTGAAGCCATGATGAGCAGGCGCAGTTTCCAGGAACTGATGTTCTGGCGCATCCTCGATTGCTTACGACTGCTATAGAAAAATGTGCAGCCTGCCCGCCACGACCTAATCTTCCCCAGATAATTTACTGTAAGATTTTCTTGTCTCATCAAACGATAGCATATAGTATGTAGACCTTGTGTACAGTTACGATAAGCCCACAGGATCCTCATCCTGTGGGTATCGTAAGATGTAGCCTGGGTTTTCTGGCCTTTGATTCCCCACTTAGGATTAAACTGAAAGAGAGATGCACAGAAGTATGATATCCAAATGACCATCAGGGCCGGAGATATAGCTCAGTGGCACAGTGCCTGCCTTGCAAGTATAAGGTCCTGAGTTTGATTCCCAGTACCAAAACAGACAAAAAACAAAACAAAACCAGATGACCATCAGATTGTGAATTAACGGCTAACGTTTAACATTTTCACAGGGTAGGGTAAAGTTAACAATTGTGGGTGATGTGGTTAAGTCTTTTGCCCAAGTAAATAAAGGAAGGGTGTTTTGTTTTGTTTTGTTTTTTGATAGCTGGTACCTTTAGAAGAAGCTAGCAGTGTTTTCCAGGAACCTGATCATGGAGTTGAAGATACCAAAAATAAACCACACAATCTGGAGTTGGATAAAAGAAAGGCACATACCTAGTTTATCCTGGTCTCATAAACCCAAACTTTTATTCAGAAAATGAGAGTCGAGATCTGTAGCTGGGCTCTCTGCAGGCATGAGGCTGCTCAGAGTCAGCATTCCGACCCGCTTCTGTCCTTAGCGCCGTATAGATCCATTATCCAAGAGCAGCCCTGTGTGTTGGGCATAGAGCACAGGCCTGCGATCCCAAGTATGTGGAGGGGCCGAGGCAGGAGTACTGAACTCGAGCCCAGCTTGGACAACTTAGGGAGAGTTTGTCTTAGTGTATCAGCTCAATGTAGAATGCTTGCCTAGCGTGCTTCAAGCCCAGGGTTCAATCCCCAGTCCTGCAAAACAAAACAAAAAAAAGGTCCCAGTAGTATTTGAGAAGATCGCGTACCTCAGTCTGTGTCTGCAGGAAGAGTGAGCTCAGCGAGGAAGAGAGCAAGGAGCCCTTTCACTTTCCAGATTGGCTCCATCGGCGGTGGGGATCCTGAGGAGAGCATGGCTTTCATACTGTCCTGGTGGCCACCTGGGTCCTCCCTGGGCTGCATGGAAGGCCGGACAGTGGCCGCCGGTCCCTGATGCCCGCCAGGCTTTATTTTATCCAGAGCAGAGCAGATGCCCTCTTCATCTGTGTGCCTGTTGGGTTTCCACAGAAGATGTGTTTGAAGCGGGCTTCTCCAGGCACCTCACTGTGCACCAGCGTTTGTCAACAAAGCCAGCGGTGTTCTGCTCCCACTAATGGTTGGGAAACAAACCAAACACGAATCAGATGGGGTGAGGGGCAGATAACAAGTGTCAGGTTTCGGCGAAACCTTGCCCGGTTTTTTCTGAGACCTTGTTTACATTTTCCGTATTTTCATGTCTGGATCACTCCCTGTGTTTGCTACAATGAAAAGATCTTGATGAGGCCAATTTTGTTCCTTTGATATCTAGTTCATTATAGTCTCCTGTTTCCTTTGAGGGAAACTTATCTCCAGTATTTCTGCTCTCACCTTGTTTTCTTATTTTAGTACCTGATGTTCCTGTGGATTTGGGATGGGAACACGTGCTTGGGAGAATGTTGGTATAATTGGTGAATTCTAGTTAGTAATGTATGACTCTCTGTGTGTGGAGAAAAAAGTGTGTTCTAAGTGTTTTTGTTTGCATCATTCACCCATTTTATATTTCAGTAGTTTTTAATCTTACCCCTTTAATTTTTAAAATATACTTTGTTCAAGTATAGCTTACACGCAGAAGAATGCACAGGTTGTAAGCAGACATTTTGGTGAACCTTGATCTGGGGTGTATACTTGTTGACTGCCATCCAGGTCAGAAGAGGGTGGTATCAGCCATACAGAGCTTTCTTTCTAGGCATTGTCCCCAGCCCCATGGTAATAACCAACATTCATCACCATAAGTTGGTCTTGCCTAGTTTTAAAATTCACATACATGGAATGATACAGAATGTACCCTATTGCTCTGGCTTCTTTTGTTCAACATTTAATTTGTGAGATGCGTGCATGTTTTGGTATATATTTGTACTTTATTCTTTTTCTTTGGTGTATAGTACTCTATCAGGTGTCTGCCCTCGTTTATTTATTCATTCACTCCACTATTGGTAAACATTTAGGATATTTCCAGTTTGGGCTACCACCAATAATGTGCTTTGAACATTACTTTATATATATTTTTCAGGTATGTATATAGGCATTTCTATGGTTAGAATTGTCAGATCATAGAAAATAGGTATGTGTAGATTTAGTAGCTCTTGCCAAATTATTTTCTGAAGGGGTCAGACCATTTAATTAATTACTACAGCTTTGTAATAAGTCCTGATATCTGGTCAGTCCTCTTAAATTTATTATTTTTTTCTTTTAGATTATCCTGACTATTCTCTGTCCTCTCATTAACAATTTTAGAACAAGTTATTAATATCTGAAAAATCTCCTACTGGACTTTTAAATGCCGTGGCATTGCATACACCGTGGTACCCTTATGTGTTTCTATATGAAGAAGTTTCTTAGTCTCTTCAGGGTTAACTGTGCAAATAAAAGTCTGTTTA